TCTAATATTAATTTAAAAGACTCTAATATTAATTTAAAAGAAGAAAACGACGACCGAATGGCTTCCCCGAATTCTGACTATTTTGTTGTTCTGTTGCTTTCATTGGGTCCCACCACCTGCGCTTCTTCTTCTCTTTATTGGGTCCCACCATTGTTGGCAAACCCAATTAGACTTCTGCTTTATAATTTCACTCCTCTGCAATCACAACCACATTTTCAGTTCTCCACAATCTGCACCGTTCAAAATATTTGACCCCCATCCGACCGTTGATACTCCTCACCGCCGCGAGTTTGACGAACGACGTAAGAAAGCCGACTTTGTTGAAATTTTAACACACTAGTACTAATAAAGTAACAAAAAAATAAAATAGAAAAGCCACATCTTCGAGCTTATCGGTTTGAGACCAGAAAAGTGTTATTGCTCTTGGTCGTTGTCATCAGACTCAAATTCTCCATTTTTTTTTAGCTTTATTTTATAGGATTCGTTTCAGTTTTGTACTTACTTTAGTTTGGAGTTAAAAATTTTTGTTTGGAATAAATTTTTTTATTTTTTAAATTTTTGTGAGAGAAAAAATAAAATGATTATAATTTGTAAAAAGAGTTAATTTGAGTCCGCTAAATTAATTAGGCCCAATAGCCCAAGATTGGTGGGCCCAAATTTATCGCAAGTCCAAAATTGGTGGGCCCGAATTAATCATCATCAAACGGGCTGAATCGCTCTAAGCCTCGAAAGGGTTCGGATCCACGAACTTAGAGACTTACTCAGGCTTAGACTCGAAAAGGTTCGGATCCACGAACTTAGAGATCCGAAGCACTTGGCTTCGAACGGATTTAGACGCAATCTAGAAGCCGCTCCATTAATGAGTCTCATAACACTGGCAGGCTCAGAGCTTTCCGGGATCTACGTACCAAAACCGTGAACGTAATGGAGTTCAAACAAAGGACCCGATCCCGAGGACAGTGAGTGGAGATAAATTCACTCTTCGGTTAAACTAGCCTATACCCGGGTCAAGGTAGCACGACCCTGGGGGTCCATGAGACTCAGCAATATTTAGCGGCAAGAGGTCCTCCAGGACTACCTCGGCCCTTTGGGATGATTAGGGATCATTGGTTAGGTGTGGCTAAGAAGAAGAGTTCGCCGAGAGGTTGATCTCCTCTTTGGGGTTTTTCTCATCCTCGGAAAGGTCACCTCTTCGGACAAGGTGGTTAGAGAGAATATTCCCCATGTGCCTTGCACATGGGCTTCATCCTACATCATGAGGTGTCTATAAATAACACCCACTCATAGCTTTACAATGGATGGATTTTGAAGAGATAACTCTTGGGAAAGAACTAATTTTCCTTCTCCATTATCTATCTTGAGAGTGAAAGTGGGAGATCCATGGGAGAGCCTTGCCATTATTCTCTCTCTAGCTACTTTGCCTTCTTCTTCACCCAATCTCTTATCTCCATCATTTTATTTCTTTTGTGTTCTTAGTTGAGACTATTGAAGAATCTAAGCCTCTCACAATTTCTAAATGAATTCAAGTCTTCTTCAAAGATCTTCGAATATTCCAACAATGTTCTTGAACCCTCTCATACATTTGGCGACTCCACTGGGGAGGCGGATTGGTTTATGGTCTCAACGAGATCTGGAACCCACACAACTCCAACAAAGATAGCGGGAGAAGATGAAGTTCACTAACAAGGATCCTCTAATGGTGGTGATGACAGGACTATGGCTCCAGATCAACCACTTTTGCTCGAAGCCATTCAAGGACTTCAAAATACTCAACAGGAGATTCTTACCACTCTTCAGAATCTCACTCACACCATGTTGGTGATGAATTCTAATTTTGCACCGGCACCAAACGGAAATCAAACTGGTGGTGGAGTTATTCCCGCTGGAGTGCAAAATCAAATCCAAGGAGAAGTAGGCCCCAGTCAGCCTATGGCTCATGGCAACACGACCATAGTAACACATGCTTAAACCGCAGTAGGCGGCAGTAGTTTGCCCACGCCCGGGCTCTATGGCATGCCAAGCCAAGATCCAATGGTGACTAGGGGAGGTTCTGGTGTAATGAATGGCGCTCTGGCGACTGTTGGTGTCCAGGCAAATATAAGGAGCATGATGGCGCAACAAGGAGCTCTGCCCATACCTAATCTTGTTACGCCGCCAGAAAATGTTACTCAAGCACCAAGCGGGCCTCCTTTGGTACCAATAACAAATTTGCAAGCACAACCCGGTATAGCGGCGCCGTGCGGTGGACTTTACAGGCCTCAATTCAATGTCCCATCACCAACTGGCTTGTCCTTAGGCGCTGATGGCCAGTATCGTCAAATGTCCTCACCAATGATGAATTCGCAACACCAGAATGGCCAAGTCGCCCCTAGCTCAGTCTTCGGGTCCATAAGCCAAGTTCCAGGAATACCACCATCAAATTTTCTCCCTCAACAGTTTCTCACTCTCGCCGATGTGCAAGCCATGTTCGATCTCGAACGAGGAAAGAGGACTTTACCCTTTTTGCCTGATTCGGATGTCAAGTCGCCTTACCTTATTGAGATGCTGAGCTATCTATACCCTAAGGGGTATACAGTGCCGAAGTTCATCAAGTTCGATGGCAAACAAGGAAATGCTTAAGAACATGTTGTGCGATTCATCGAGACTCTGAGTATTCATGGTTCAAACCACGTCCTCCGGTTGAGAGAATTCTCTAAGTCCCTCACTGACCGAGCATATAGTTGGTATGTTAATTTGGCCCCAAACTCTGTCCAAAGTTGGGAGGAAATGGTTAACAAATTCCACTCCAAGTTCTTTCAAATGGCGGAGAAGGTGACCACACTTACGTTGTATAAAAAAAAGCAGCAAGAAAGTGAAGACATCCTTAACTACGTCAAAAGGTTTCAGGACAAGGCTGTGGATTGCCATGAAGCAGTGGAAGAGAGTTATCTGGTTCAAATCTATCTAGAGGGGGCATTGAGTAGGTATAAAATGTTTCTAGCTAATCACAAGCTACCCACCTTCTCAGCACTAATAGAAGCAGCTCGGAACATTAGCACTCCTCAGGCTCAGGAGTCCGGATTTAAGGCCAATTACAAGACTAGCTTCAAATTGTCTCATGGACCTATTGTTGCTGCTGCCTCTGCCCCAGATACCCGAAAGTCATAAGGAGGGGTCATAGAGGCTAGAAGAGGAAGCAATATAATGGTGAAAAGGGAAATGGTTCTTATCCATGTGGAATCGATGAGGTAAAAGCTCTAGTTAAGGAATGGGTGGCCGACGGAGAGGTAAAATTGCCTTATGTCGAAGAAATGCCATCAAAGAAAGACCGCGAGAGCCTTGAATTTTGCATCTATCATCGCACATTGAAACATCCAACAGAGAAGTGTTGGACTCTCAGGAAAATCTTCAGAGATAAAGTCAAGGCAGACGAATTGAGGTTCAAAAAGCAAGGGACTCAAGACATCCGAGAACAACCATATCATCAGCACCGAGACAAGGGCAAGAATGTTGTTATAATAGCTTATGAAGGCCCGCTGATTGAGGCTATTGCCAATCTCGATGACGATGATTGTTATCTGGACGACATCCTCAAGCCCGAGGGTGAACAAGTTTACTATGGAAGTGCTCTCGATCCAGAGGGCAGAACATTTATGACTCATGTCGAAGATCCCTTTGATCTAGAAGGAGGAGAAGAGTACAACGGAAGAGGAGGACACCATGTTTATGTGGCATCTTATTTTGAAGAGACTGAGGAGATGATTAACTATGAGCCTCCAAGAGTGGAAAAAGATCCGGATCACTATGCCAAAACCCTACAAGACTGTGTAAAGTTCAAGTAATTCTTTGACCAGCTTGGACTTTCCAGGGAGGCAAGAACAGAAATCACCAAGTCTATCATTAATATAACCGAGGCAAACCATGAGGAATGCATGTCAACTGAGGGATCTATCCCGAGGAAGGCAAAAGAGCAATCTAGTGCCATTACTTTCTCCGAGGTTGATCGTTTTCTCACAATCGCCTGCTTTATGTGACTGCTTTTATTAACGGGGTTGAGTTCAAAAGGGCCTTTTTGGACAGTGGAGCCTCTATCAACATTATGACCCGCGCTACTCTACAGCAGGCTGGAATCTCTGAAGAGCACATCGTGAAGCAGCCGATAGTCAACACTGGCTTTGGTGGAGAAATGAGAGTTACTATAGGATGCGTAACAGTTGATTTAGCCGTCGGAGAGATTCGCACGGCCACCAAGTTTCATATTATCGATTCTGAGGCAAATTATCACATTATTCTAGGGAGGACCTGGATGCATAGATATGGGGCTGTACCATCGAGTTATCATCAATGTGTTACGGCTAAATGGGAAAAGAAGACGGCGACAATTCAGGCTACAGAAAGGCCTTTCGAGACCCATGAAGCTCATTATTCTGATGCCATCTACTTCATTGAATTGGTTGTCGAAGAAGTTCCCACCACCTTTAAGCCTCGGGGGGTCAAAATTCCTCGTTAGGAGGATATCAAAGATGATAAGGAGCCAAGGGCAGAATCAAGTAAACGGGTGATGTCTAGACCAGAAAGTCCGCTTATTCCTCGAAAGGTGATGAAAGTCCGAGAAGGGGGCAAGATGGTGTACTATTTGTGAAGGTGCGAGCAGTCGATTTCTTCAGCCACCGACTCCGAGTCAAAAGAAGAGCCTCCTGACAATGATATAGTAATAAAGTCTGAAGTGGCTCCAGAATGCATGCAAGATGGGCTGAAGCCTTAGCCCGAAAAACTTATTGAAATAGATCTAAGTGATGGACAAGATACAATGAGGCCGATATTCATAAGTTCGAGCCTTAGCCCAGAGAAGCGAGAACAGTTGTTAAAATTGATAAGTCGGTACTCAGATGTGTTTGCTTGGTCTTATAAACAAATGCCTGGACTAGATTCTGACCTAGTCTCCCATTATCTTGATGTGTTCCCAAACTCCAAGCCAATCAAGCAAGCTGCTCGAAAATATCATCCAGATCTCGAAAAGAAGATTAAAGAGGAGATTGAAAAAATTCAACAGACAGGTTTCATTCGGCCAATACAGTACCCCACGTGGTTGGCAAACATAGTGCCAGTAAATAAGAAGAATGGTCAAATCAGAGTATGTGTAGACTTTCGAGATTTGAACAAATCTTGCCCGAAGGATGAATTCCCTCTACCTCACATCGATACCCTTGTGGATGCCACCTCGGGACACCAAATGTTCTCATTCATGGATGGATTCAGCGGATACAATTAGATTAAGATGGCTGAAGAGGACGCAGAAAAGACTGCTTTTAGAACACCTCTCAGAAACTTCTTCTATACAGTCATGCCTTTCGGACTTAAGAATTCCGGAGCAACTTACCAAAGAGCTATGACTGCGATCTTTCATGATATGATCCATCATGAGGTGGAAGATTATGTTGATGATCTAGTGGTGAAATTCAGGAAAGAAGAGGACCATCTCCGAGACCTTGAAAAAGTGTTTAAAAGGTGTCAAAAATTCAAAATAAGAATGAAACCTCTCAAATGCGCTTTTAGGGTGACGGCTGGGAAGTTTCTCGGGTTTCTTGTACATAGGCATGGTATCGAGGTAGATGAAGACAAGGTCAAGTCTATCAGAGCAATGCCTCCCTCGCATTCTCAGAAGGAGTTAAAGAAGTTCCTCGGGAAGGTGTCTTATATTCGGAGGTTCATCCCAGCACTTGCAGAGATCTCTGCCCCTTTCGGCTCTTTGTTAAAAGGAGATGCCAAGTTCGAGTGGAACCAAGAGCACCAAAAGGCCTTCGAGGGAATCAAGGCGGCCTTGACCTCGCCTCAAACCATGATAGTCCCGCAGCCCGAGGTGCCTCTAATGTTGTACCTAACCTCAACCCCCAAGTCGATAGGGGCATTATTGGTCCAAGATGTAGATGGAGCAGAACGCCCGGTGTATTACATCAGTCGGAAGATTCGAGGAGCAGAAGTCCGATATACTCCGGTAGAGAGACATTGTTTAGCTTTGATATTCACCGCCCAAAAGCTCAGACATTACTTCTTAGCACATCATATTCAGATTGTTACTAGAAGTGATCCAATCCGATACCTCCTCAATAAGCCTGCTATAATCGGGAAGGTGACAAGATGGTTGTTAGCACTGGGTGAATTCGAGATCACATGTGTAGCTCCCAAGGCAATCAAAAGCGAAGCCTTAGCTGATCTCCTTGCCCAATTTCCAAGTGGTGACTATGAACCAGTGAATGAAGAATTAAGAGGAGAGGTGCATGCAACTATGGCTTCCGAGGAAAGCTTTTGGACATTGAGCTTTGACGGAGCAGTAGCCGGAGGGAAATGAGGAACCGGGATAGTCCTTACAAGCAAAAGTGGGGAAAAGTTATATTTGTCTTATAAACTGGATTTCCATTGTTCGAATAATTAAGCCGAGTATGAGGCTCTTATTTTAGGCTTGATAGTAGCTGAGAAGCACAATATCAAGAAGATTCAGATTCGGGGGGACTCAAAGTTGATAGTGAAGCAAGTTTCAGGACAGTTCATCTTAAAGGAACCTGCCTTAGCCACATATCAAACAACAGTCCAAAGGCTTCTTGACAAATTTCAGAAAGTTGAAATACAGCATGTGCTTCACTCCGACAATAAGTTTTCAAATGCCCTCGCAACGTTAGGGGCAAGAGTTGACATTCTAGAGGAGGAGGTGACAATTGTTATCAAGAAGAGAACAGAGCCTTCAATAATACCCGAGGACAAAGACCTTTCGGAGGACTAGAGAGGAGAAGTCCTCGAACAACTCAGAAGCAAAGTTGGAAAACTGACTATGGCCAAGCTTGCCCAATTCATAATTATTCAAGGTGAACTTTACTTCCAAGGAGGTACCTGTGACAACCCTCACCACTGTTTACTGATAATAGCACTGATTAGTGCTAATCTATGATTAAGCATGTTAATTGACTGACTGACTAAAATTCTGAATCGATTGATTGATTGCACTAGTTTGAATGCAATTCTATCTGTTGACTGTTAAATTATCTGTTCATGTTTTATGCTTTAAACTGCAAATTGAAGGTCTTATCGGCGGCCGAATCTGAAATTGATTGATGTTTTGTGCTAATTAAGATTTATATAATTTTATGGTATATTTAATTGGAATGTGATTTGGTATGATTAAATTAGATTAAATGTTGATAAATTATAAGTGTTGGCCTTATTTACCAATTTGCCACATTAGTGGCCCACTACATGGGACCTATTGGGATTTGCTTTCATCTCATTTTGTACATTTCATCAGCCACTCCTTGAGCCTTAGCTGACTAGAGAGAGAGAGACTTAGAAGAATTGATTTCATCTTATATTTGTTTGGAGACTTGAAGAATTTGTAGAGGATTTGTGCAATTGAGGTTATATTCTTGAGTTTGAGGACCTAAGGTAGTGTGTCCATCCTTTTAATTGTGAATTTAAGTTAGTTCTTTCATGTTTCATGCTAAATTGAAGAGTTGAGTCTAGAATTGGTTAAGATTGTTGAATAGAGGCTTAATTTTTGCATGCATGTTTACATTTTGAAGTTTTGAGGTTGTAGTTCATGAAATCCCACATGCATGTTCATATCTTGAGCTTAGTCCATGAATTCATCTTGTTTTTGAGGCAATTAAGCTCATTTGAGCAAGTAATTGAAGTTTTGGAGTTGATTAAATTCATGCATGTTATGTTTTACATCATGTTCATGGAATTTGTTTCAAAATTGTGTTTAATTGACTCACCTTTGGGCCTTGATTTTACAAATTGAGCTTTGAATCATGTTATATTATGAGTTTTAAAGTGTTTTCCAGAAAATTGGCCCAAAAGGATCGAATTTGATGCATTAAAACTTGATTTTGAGCTTGAGGTTCAAATCTAGAAATTCCAGATTTTGGACTCCCGCTCGAGCGGGGTAAGTGACGCTCGAGCGGGAAATTCGTGTATCCAGCACTTTTGTTGTGTTTACAGCTCGCTCGAGCGGGGTTTTGCACGCTCGAGCGAGGACTTGTGTCACAAGCTCGCGCGGGTGTCGAGCGCCTATCGAGCGTGATTTTCGCACATCTAGTACTTTTGCAGTCCTCTCGAGCGGGAAAGTTTAAGCTTGAGCGGAGACTTTGTTTACATGTCCGCTCGAGCAGGGAAATCCACGCTTGAGCGGGACCTCCGTTTTCTGAAAATTCTGAAAATGTTTTTAAAGTGCATCTTTGCATCCTCATTCCATCCTAGGCATTCCTAGGCCTAGTTTAAGGCATCTTAATGAGGATATTGATGTAGAACCACATCGCGGCAAATTAGGGATTAAGTTATTATTTCCCAACTGTGTAGCTTAGTGTGTGTTCACTCTGTAACTGTGTAGGGTTGGCATCCGAGGACGCGTACTAACTTATCTGTAGCCCAGAACTCTGTGAGTAACAATGTTGTAAAGATATGTTCAATTGAGATTATTTTCTGAACAAATGACTATACTGCTTTATGAAATGACACTGTTTACTAAATGAATGTTTGTCCTATTTGTGAACTGTATTCGTGGCATTCATAGCAATATACTGTTACTAAACTGTTACTGCTACTGTTATAGAGATCTCTGTCGGTTCCCACGTTTGGAACCATTACTGATGGCCATCATTGACTGCTCGGTCTGTTAAGACCTACTGTACTGTTTTGCTATTGGATGTACCACATATGACTATTATAGTTTTTGAATTACTGTGTGGCATGATTTATGAACCACAAACTGAATGACTGATATACTGTTTAAATGACTGTTTTCAATACTGAAAGGACATTCATTCTTAACCTCTTTACGCATATGTTATTCACTGGGCTTTGGCTCACTGCTCATATATATATATATATATATATAGGTGTTCAGGCACCGGACCGTTGCTAAGGGCGTCAAGTTTAACTCCTGTTTTGTCAAACCAACCTTTGTGCCTCACTTTGAGGTTCCAGAATTGTTCAAGCTGAGGCTACTTAGGGTGTTTTAGTTTTCCCCCTCTTTGTTTATGTTCTGTATAGGCTGAATGATGTTGTACTGTACTGTTCTAATAAGGATTAAGTCCCTGTCCTGAATGATTGTATATATTGTACATACTGTTTTGGTACTGATTGTATATATATATATGAAAAGTCTTTTTGCATACAGACTGTCACAGCCCATTGGACATCTTTTAATTACTGTTTTGGCTTCTGCCAGCCCCTGTACTCTGTATTACTGTGTTACTGTTAAGCAGGCCTTCGGTAATCTCGGATTACTGGCCGGTTACGGTGCTAAACCCATAGGGGCGGGTTTGGGTCGTGACAGAGTGGTATCAGAGCGATACTAAACCACGAGTTATACCGCACACACGTGTCCAAATGAGCTATAGGATGTCCTAGAAAAGTAAATAGGGCATTGCATGAGCATGAAAAGTGTGTGTGGCCATGACATGAATATCTGTGTTAATGTGTTTAAGTATGCAACTGCCTATGTTTATTATTGCTATA